TTTTGGTTAATAGTGCCAATAGTCTTTTCTGCCACGATAACATCCTGCTCGCGTAAACTATCTACATTATTTGATATGTTCGCTATTAATGCAATACTTAAAATTATTTGGAGTAACTCTCTTCAGGCGCTATTCATTCACGATTCTCTTTTTTAGCAATCTGTAACGCACTTTAGATTATAAAAAAGTCTCACTATTAACAAAGTCTTGAATTACACTCAACGCTTATCGTGATGTCCAGCCGCTCGCGAGTCTGGTATAAAGACGTCGAAACTTTGCAAAGTTATGAATATTTCATAAATAATAGATAAGAGTCTTCCTCCCCCTATAAGCTCATGTGAAAGACCATGATGAGGTAAGACTATAAAATACTGAATAAAACGACGAGGATGTGGTAACCTAGACAATGGAAAAGGACGGCATGCAACCTAGTAACCTAAGTTCAGTCCAGCTACTCTTGGAACACATTCGTTAACGATAATACTACGTACAGACGGGACATTTCTTTGGCTTTGTGATATCAATAAAATTGATACTGTGCCTGCAGTAACAATAAAATCCGTCACACAGAGACGAGACTTTGGCTCTTGTATTAGAAATCGTTAGGCGTTCTATATCGCGGAGTTCAGCTATTTCGTAGGAAGAACATGGTAAATTAATGAAGGCCGTTCTCGTTTTAGAACGAGTGGGCATGCCTCGAGGCCACATCGCCGGACGTGATATCACGCGCTTCCTCCAGCGATATCGTCGAAATTACAGACATGCCCAAATCCATAATCCGACCATGACTATATTTAACATGTACACCAAATCCTTCGTGATGGTGCATCTTCGGAATAGTATAATAGTCGAGTATCTCATGCCGTATCCGGGAAGATGATGACCGCTTTTCCACTTGATCGAACATAGCGGAACGGCAACGTGGAGGATATCCGGTATCATGAGCATCAAATCACGTACAACCTTAGTGCAAATCGAATTGGTGAATTGCAAGGTATTCCTTTCACCTAATCATGGATCCTTACCTGGTGCGCGTAACCTTCCCCTCTGACAACATTTTGAAAGAACTGATCCCAGCTGGCAGCCAGAATATGCAGAATTGCTATCGCAACTATGGTGAACGCTTTCCTGCGAGTCACAGGATTCTTACTATCCGCCAGATGGAGAACCCAGAAGGTGGATATTAACTCGGTGACGGAGAAGAACATCTGATGATACCACTGGGAGTAAAATTCATCGTTCCAATAATTTATATACACCCACCAGGTGTAGTAGTGGGAGAACACAGTGGTCGAGAAAAGCAGCATCATGCAGTATCTGAGCCTCTGCTGAATCGCCAACCACGTTAAATACTTCACCGTCTCGTAAAATGCAATCACCCCGATAACTATAGCCATCCATATTTTCAATGTGTTCTGGGTGGCGTTGAAGTACATGTGCTTGTAGGAAGCGATTCCGGATTCATATGATCCTGAAACAATTAAATTATGTAGCCAGATCTGCAACTCCCAGGCATGCTCAACATTCGAAATATATTCAAAGTCCTTTTATAAACTATTCTTACCTTTAAACACAGTATCCCAACATGAACAGGTGCAATATTCTTTGTCCACCACTCTTGAGTACTCTTGCCAGAAGTAATATAAAGATGCGATGTGCAACGGCGGAATAGTCAGAGGTGCTATGATACCCATGAGATTTGACCCATATGTCGCAAAGTTTTTGTATATCATACGTATCATCTTTAGACTTAAAATACATCACCCACCAGTGCAGGGATGTGATAGAAAGCACCAAGACTAGAGTAAAAGAAAAACAGAACTTCTTTACTTCCTTAGAAATACACAGAAATAGTTCAAGAATAGCTTGATTTATCACACAAATATACCACAGAAATACACACAACGTAATTGAGATTATTCTGAGGATTACCTAGAAGAATTTTACCTAGAAGAATTTTTCGATAACGTGGACAGCAGCACGAGAACAAATAAATGCTATAAGATATTAACAGTTTATGGTTCTACGACTAACAGGTTTTTATATTTTGATTGATGTTGCAGGAATGACTGAAAGCTACTTCATAAAGAACTGTGACACGCATTATAAATTAAAAATGATTCCCTTATCAGATATATTATCGCCTTGAGATAAGTACAGTGTTATATAACACTGCCCATTGGGTTTAGCGACTGTTAAGTGTTCAAAGATAACAGAAAGATAACAGCACTTCAACTTTAGCTTTGACAGATTCAATTCGATTTTTACAGGTAACTCTATGAATATCTCTGACTAACTCTCGCTCCGAGAACGTTTTCATCGTACGCACTTTTACATAGACGACATTTTTCGTAAACTATATATTTTTTATATTTCGCTCGCCCGTGTCAACATTCCACACATTTTAACATATAGCAAAACAGACAAACAAAACTCGCGACGTAGACGGTTGACTTAACTTCCTACATTGATGAGCACTCAGGTATTAAACGTTTATCGGGTGATAAACAAAAAACGCAACAAACAAAACTCCGCAACACTCATATTTATTTCGACAACACGTAATTTTGCTTTCACACGGTGCGCATTATTGCGTTATTCGTGCGCCACGGCGCCGCGAACCGTCGTGAATTCGGTATTCCTCGGCCGTTACGTCATGGCGATTGATGTGTCTTATTTATGCGGATGTACGAGCACCCGTAATCGGTGCTTTCCGAGGGAACACCTCCGAGTTCACATGCCAATGAACTCAACGACTTCACGAGCAAGCCCTTTAACAAAGAATGAATGGCCTCGTAAACATCTGGTCCGGGTATTACGGTGCAACGCCATCTGCATATGTTAAGATGCTGACGGAAACTTTAGAAGTTCGGAGTAAAAGGAAAAGTTGCACCTGCAGCGCCCGTTACCGAAGTTACCCGATAGTTACCACATAGAGCGAACTAATCCTGAGGGTCAATTCTGATCGTCGCTCTTTAGAACATTATGCAAATGTTTTGTGGACGTGTTGCTGAAGATTGCCACTATAAAAATTGTGTATTTGTTATGTTAAAACTGTATAAAATACGATGACGGAGCTTCACTTAGTCGCAACTGATATTATAGGAAATTTCGTTGCTAATTGCTGTTGTTGCCTGGAATTGAGTCGCACTTGGAAGCGTGAAATACCGGCAACTGAAAAACCAGCGCTCTACTTTCGTCCCGTGTTGACATGCGATCGATAATTTCTTTTCCGTAAAGCAACTCCACACATTTCGGTTCCATTATTTTCCCTGCTAAGTAATTTATTTTGACTATATTAAAATATTATAGAAAATAATAAAATTTAAAAAATCGTAAAATAAAAATCGCCGATGTTACAACGATCTGAACATCGTTACGCTTCGTTACGAAGCTTCTCAGAATTCTGTCTTAGTCTGAGGTTAGATAAATTTTACTCTTTTCGCAAGAAAGTTTGCAATAATAATTTATTTAAAAAAATTATCAAACGTAGTTCACAAATATGTATTATATTTACGATATGCGCACGGCGGTTTCGTCAGATCGTCTTTAGCAATTGTTTCGTTTTTATCCACTTACAGTCTTTTAGAGAATCTTAGATAAAAAATGTCACGAAACTACAAAACCACTATAAGCTACAAGCTGTGTCGTTGCTGCTATAAGTGGCGTTGCCGATGTCTAATACCGCGACGAACGAAACCACATCCGCCTTTCAATAGCGGAACGAAGATGGACAACAAGTTGGGTTTGCATCCTAAGATGCGAAATCTCATATCAGTTTCACCGGGTGTGGGCACTTATTATCCTCGATCAATCGATCGCAAACCTGAAGCCATCAGGTAAAAGACAAACTTACCTTTGCACATCCAAAATGGCGTGAAAAGAGCAACCAGTAAAGAATCACGATGCAGTTGGGAGAGGAAAGAAGAGATGGAAAGATTTTCTGCTATGATGGGCGGGAATTTGACCAAAGAGATCACAGCACAGAGAGAATTGATGAGGACCGGTGGTGGCCCTGGCACTTACGACATGCCTCGTTGGCCGGAAAGCATTTCGAAGACCCTTTGCAAAAGTCTGGTAGAGGACGTTGATTTCGGGACGGTGCCGCGATTTGAACCTAGTTACAAGTCCACCACACCTGGTCCAGGTGAACAAAATGATCTGTCAAACATCAAAAGGAATGTTGAATCATTCCGATCAATAATTTCTGCTTGGAATATATTTTTATTTGTACGTTGTGTCACATGAAGAAATAATCTTCTGAATTTTAATCAGTGCTCAAGTGAATGACTTTCTATTTTCTTTCACTCCCTTCTTCTCAAGGATACACCCTCCGAGTGCACAATCCGTATTATTACCTGGAGAAAAAAAGACTGAAAGGTTTCTCTCAGGTACCTCCATTTGAGTTTGACGGTTTAGCACCTAGATTCCGAGAAACAAGAAAAATATGGTCTCTGCCGTGCAACAGGTAACACTAAAAGAGTCGTTCTATTGAACTATGTTTTTTACACATTTATCCATAGTTCCTGAAATCACGAGAGAAAAATTTTATGTATTTTTTGTAACAGGTATAATGTGAAGCATCCGCATTCGCTGGAAGTTTTTCTCAAAAGTGTTACGGGCAAGAGAGGGCCTTACGATATTTTCACAGGTGTTGATATTCTTCTATAAAAATATACATGTCGATTATGAGTTATTTTAAAGAATGATAAAAAACAATATGCTTTGAGACAGTTCATTTTTCAAAGAATTAAAATTTAATAAATCTGAATCGATAGAGTGTTATTTTAGATTTACATCTCATTGAAATTTGTAATACTAAATTTCAAAAAACTTAAATTTAGACATTAAAAGAAAGTTTAACTACGAAGTTTTTTGTCAATTTTAAATGTATTTCGAGGGCCGAGAGATGAAACTACTCTCAAAGGTATGCCATGGGCACGTAAAAAATTACCGGATAGTGGGGACTGGCCGCGAAAATTACCAAGTGAGATGGAAAAACTTTTGGACAAATCCAATTATTTTAAAGGGAAATGGACCATCAATCCCAGGTATTTCGGTCAATTATAACACTTAATAAGTGAAGAAATAAGTAAAAGATAATCATCTATTGAGACAAAGTCGTTTATAAAAATTACTTGTAACGTGTTTTCATCAGAATTCTTTCTGTTGAAAATCATTGAATTATCATCGTAACAATTTAGTTACAAGGATCCTTACATTAAAACTCATTCAAGTTCCCTTATGAGAATAGGAAAGTTATTTTGATTTGGAGAAAAATATTTTTTTAAAGATTTCCAAAAAAACCGGTCATAAGGATGTTATTGCAAGACATCAGTACGTGTTACAAGGACCCCGATGAACCGGGACCTGGTCATTACGATCCTCGAATACCGCAAAAGCCGACTACACGCAAAAAATATCCTTTTGATAGTAACGTGGAGTTTGCGCGTCCACTTTTGCCAAGTGACATTCATCCTGGCCCAACTAGATACAAAATTGAACAGGTTCGTGTGATAAAAGGACACGGATGGTCGTCAGTTTTCAAGAGCAAAGTACCTAGAACGATCACTCTTATTCCGCCATCATTTAAAAATTTCTAATTTCTACAAATATTATAATTCAATAGAAAAATTCATCGTATCATTGGTACAATATTTATCTATAGAATAAGTTTTATTTGCTTGCACTTGTTTATAACCGTGCACATATTTTGCCGTAATTACATCGAGTTAGTCAAAATGTAAGACTTCTTATACACGAGGAGTCAGCTTTGCTTCGCAATCGTCAATTATAAATATAACAAGTTCTATAACGCGTTACGAGCCGCGTCGCAGCAATTGCGGCAAATCGCGCAAATCCTGTAATGCCAGCTATCCGCGCGATGAGGCGCGTACGAGCGGTCTACGCTAATTCTAAGATCCAACAATCATCGTGATTGATCGTTCAAATTAGCTCGGCACGGCGCGCCGGCGATTCCTCGTTTTTCCGTCGACGGTGTTCCTCGGGAGAGACGCGAGATTTCGTGCCAGGTGGAGAATCGTAACAGGAGCCTCTCGGGGGATAATGACGCACCGCACGATTATCTGGACTGCACCGAATGCATAATTTATACGTATACTACGAACTTTGAACCGGCTGTATCCTATCCCCGCGCGTGGAACGCGCCTAATTGCACTTAACCGTTCTCCAACGACCGCCCCTTTCATTTAGACTTTTACCGCGTCACTCGTTTGTTATAGAACGCACGAGCCTGTAATTACGACAATAAAACGAGACGAAATTTATTGGATCGTATGCGCGACATGTTGGCGAGATGCGACGGCGAAATATCGTCCGCGACTGGAGTTTTGTATAATTCGAATCGGTGCGCAAATCGCGTGAGGTTTTCGATCGCGACGGATAATTGTCGCGAAATAGGAAACGTGAAATAAGGTAAAATAATTAAAGGTAAAAAAAACCAATTTCCGAACACGTATCTAATCCTGGACATTCTTATCATTTTGATCTTCAAATAATATTTAACTTTTAACATAGAAAATGTATGTATGTACTCAATACTTGTATATATATTTTATGTTGAAAGTTTAAATATTTATATTTTAAGACCAAAACAATAAGAATGTCCAGGATTATATATGGGCATTAGTACTTTTATCTTACACGATGAACTGTTGAAGAACGTCGAGTGGTTGTGCAAAAATATTAGTGCACTAAGATCAAAGTTGCGAGATATTCTCTCTTCTTCTCGTAAGTTATGGCAATATCGGCACCTGCATATTTAACTATGGATAATAAAACGCCGGAAGTATCTTCCGCATATAAAAAAGGGAAGAAGGAAAATGAGAAAAATTCTCGCAGCGAGCCATATGGCTGGGATAATTTCGTAGATTGATGGAGGATTTCACGGAGCAACTGACACCCCGTGTACGCATTCCCATAAGCGGCGGCGATGGTGTCGGCGGCGTCTACGTAACGCGGCTGTCGTGCGTGTGGGATGCACGCATTAGTTACAAGGGCAAATTAATCGGGACGCAATTAGGCGCTAATAACTTTTTAATTTACGACACCGAGGCGTCTCTCGCAAGATCGATCTACCGTTGGTCGTTGGGTTCGTTCACCCGCGATGTCGCAAGAGGATACAAACCGCAGTGTAACGTTAAATCACCAGATTACGAGTAATAGTTTCTCAATCTGGAGAAAAGAAAACAAAAGCAACTTACCTCTTATTATCGTTTTTCTAATCGTTTCGCGCGAAATTAGATTCTTTCGAGTCGATGATATTTTTGCGCGACAAATCAAAGTTTGGACATAAAAATCGAGAGGAAAGGAGGTGTCACGCGATCGGTATGAATATCGGATTTTCTACCTGACGCCTCAGCAACTGTCGTGCTCTGAATGAACATTAATATCGCCCGCCACACAATTCCCATTCAGGTTTTCTGAACTTTCAGGATTTTTTTGTTTGATGAACATAACATGTAAATAACACGTTGATATAGATATACTTCTTGAATAAAATTCCCGAAAGAACTTCCAGAAATCAATTTGTCTTTCGTGTGACAAACGTACTTCTCTTTCTCTATCAATCTATCTATCTACACGTCTCTTTCATATAGTGTCGCGTGGCTGTGCAGATCTCCCCGTTTCGCCAAGATTGTTCGAACGACTAGGCATTGTGGATTAAAAGCATACTGTGAATAACAAAGAATGAACATAGCCACACAATAGAATTACACCCCGCTACTGTTCGTCTAAAAAAAAAACGTAAATCTTTAGTAGCAACCTAGCTTTTCTTTATTCTTCCTTCTTTTTCTCGTTTCCTTTTTCCCTTACCTTCTATCGACGACTTTATGTCCACTCCCCGGGAAGCAGGAGATTCTTTTGACAGCGCAGGTTACCTATATGTCGAGGTGATGCCATAGACACGCGCCTCTCTGTCTTCTATCCAAGGTTTCTATATAAGCGCGACAATCGGGCACAATTTAGTATAATATAGATTTACAAAAACGCTTCTTCCTTCTAATACTATTCATTTTTACAATAGTGTCACGATAGTCACAATAGCGATCACCTACTAAGATTCTCCGTGACTATGTAGTGACACTTCAAGAGTGCGTTGTTATTAGCGCATAAGTTATAAATTATAACCGGCCAGTGTTAATCTACTTGTACCTACTTGCAGAGGATATAGAGTACGTGCACCCTGGGTACCTATTATGGACTTCTTCGGAATCCGATCGGAATAATTCCGTTTCCCCTAGAGAAGACAATAGAAATCTAGGAAATAACTGAATGTTTCCGATCGGAATTTATTCCAAAGAAGTCCATAATAGGTACCCTGGATTTTTCACAGGAGCATCACTCCTGTGTCAAGGCGATGGTGATGAGAGTATATGGTCAGTAGATTAATGATCATAATTGATGAAAGACATTCACGAGGGTTGGTAAGGTTAAGTTGGAAATTGATGAAAGGACTCTGAATGGCGAATTTTCGTGGGATCTTTATTCCTACAAATGGAAAGAATGAAAAGAGGAAACTATAAATTGCGAAGAAAGGTATGGGATACGAAAGAGCGAGCTCAAGGGTCTCTGGCTAAGGTTCTCGAAATGACTGCGATCGTAGAAGCTCGAGCGATCGGACGGAAGCGACGATCCCGCGCTACGCAACAGTAGATTATCGATGCACACGTGCCTTTTGTGAAAAAGTTCCGGCCCATCGGGCACACCGCCCGCGCACTCGCTCGGGGGCATCCAGGAAGGCCGCCATCGAGGGAGGTGTGATACGTTACAGCTGGTTAAACAGCTGTGGGGTGGAAGGATAGCCGTGAACGCCGCGACAAATTTCGGCGGCAGCCACCAGAAGGCCACGTATGAAATCGGAGGAGGCTGTCCTCTTTTTTTCATGCGCTTAAAAGACTCGTTTCGAATTTATTTCTGGCTGCTTTGCGACGATGCAAAGTCCTCGGGAGCGATGACTTATCGAGGAAGGTGTGATTTCGGCAAGGTAATGGACCATTTTGTGCATGTACGGGATAGCCAGAAAATTTGCGGCTTGATTTTCTAATTGAAATTTTCAACTTGAACGCATTCGACGGAAACAAACTTTTCATCAATTTTTTTAATCACCACCGTTGTCTACGAACTTTTGACAGCGTTCTTTGACGACATTCGCATATCTTTATTAGAATCACTCTAATCAGAGTTTGGCCACAACGCGCGGTTTCGTCAAGATCCTGCAAGGAAGAGAGACATATTTTCAATCTCTTTCTTTGTCTATCTTTTCTTAACCTAATCTAACCTACTGTCATAAGCGTACTGTGATTGGATACTGTGTGGGATTTGACGAAACATAGCGGATTAATCAGAAGATTCTATCTTATGGCCAAACTCTGATTATAGAATCTCTAATCTTTATCGTAGAAGAGAACTAGTTTATCATCGAAGAAATCAGGACACTGAACAGAACTAGCTATTTATTATTCTTTTCTATCAAGCTATTCTTTTGTCGAATCTTTTTGACGAGAGACGCGATTGAATCCGTCGCATCGAATCGTCACGCTGCATTAAATTCAGAAACGATTTGATTAAAAGTTCGAGACGCACCACTAGCACGCGTAATTAACATGCACGTAATTAACAGCAAAAGTCATGGGAGGATGTAATTTTGTAGATGGAAGCGGTTTGTAAAAAATGCTCTTTTCGTTTGTACGCTTTAACGTGATCCACGACGCGACGCTCGATAAAATAATAATAATAGTAAGCATGAATATTAGACACATACACACACACACACACACACACACACACACACACACACATACACGTACGACGGGCCATGCTTATTGGTCGATCTTATGTTGACGGTTCTTGTTTTAATTTCTATGCTATCGCTCGTTTGGCTCTCGGACTAATGACGATTTGACGACCGAGGTGTATTTAACACTTTAGCTCCGATAATATGATTACATCGTTAAGTATCTCAAACAAATACTTCGTTCCAACGATCAAACGATTTTGTTGATTTGATATTTTATTGCACACACAGTTGTTAGACAATATCTATATAATTACGTACTACGTGACATTATTTTTCCACATAGTCTAATATTTTCTACACAATCTAATATTAATTAAAAATTTTATTTCTTTTATATGAAAGAGAGAGGAAGGAAAAATTCGTGTTCTACAATTAACTATTCCTATACGGAAAAAAAATTTCAGTTGGTGCAACCAAATAAAAACCAACTGAAAATTAGGTAATCAGAAGCGATATCTCTGTTATGAGAAAACTAATATTTCTGTTATCGCAACTGAAAATATTCGTCTGAACATTCAACGATATTAGAACTCGGTTGAGACAACCAAGAACAATTGACTATACAGAAGCCTCATAAAGGAATTTTTCTGTTCTTACAGCCGAGTTTTCGTCTGATTCCTGAGCAACCGAAAATTCGGTTGCACCAACAGAATTGTTTTTTCACGAAATGATAAAATGATAAAAGAGGGGACATAATTATATATAATCACACAGACCTCTTCAAACTGTTATCTTCGCGCGTACATCGAGATCATGAAATTATCGGTCGCGATCCGTGTGGAT